TCGCACCGATGGACGAGATATCTCGCCACGTGATTTCGTTCATGATATACTTTCACGAGATCGTCCAAAGCATATCATAAACGAAATCACGTGGCGAGATATCTCGTCCACTGGTGCGAAGGGATTAAGTAAAAGAAAAGTAATCCAAAGTGTACCAAAACTAGTTATAAGAACACAACCGCCTAATTGTAAAAGGCTAAAGGCCTGTAATAAAATAAATAATAATATTATAAATGCACAGGTAGAGTATTAAGTAATATATTATAAAAAATACGACTTTATTGTCCAGAGGAACGAAAAATTGTACCCGCAATTAGGTCAACAGACTTAATGTAACTTAACTTCAATGCCCTATCGTTTCCCTATCTTGAATTCTATCCCATTGCACTTGCTCACGAAACAGTGAAATTTTCTGACAGAAAACTGACCCGATTTTCCACAAGAATTAATTATACAACGCCGAAGTTACGCATTACGAACATTCGCATCGACGCCGAACCTGAAACACGTCTTGGGAACACGTATTCTTTTTCGTTCGATAAGAAAACATCAGCTGAAAATGCAATTTTCGTCCGATACAGATCTCTACCGGGTGGAAGAAGGTGGGAACCCGCGCGCGAGACGACTAACGCGTGTCGACAACCAGGTATCGGAGTTAACGTTCAACTTTAAACACTTCGCCGTGAGTATCACTCGAAAGATCTTATTAGCGGAAGGTCGTGCTAAAATGCCACTATTTAGTGTGCCTATGCAATTTCACGCGGTAGACTGTATATAGAGTCTCGAGTTTACAGTCGTGCCGCCGCGACGGGAGCTCTTAACTTTCTCGATCTTTCGAACTCAATACGACATCAATTCCAAACTGACACCTTCGAAATTTAAAGAAAACTAAATTTTATAAAACTAAGAGGAAGACATAAGTGTTCGAATGAAGTAATTTTCGGATAATAAGACAATAACTTTTCCAATACTAAACTTCCTTTATCTAAATAGAGATCAAAAAGATTGACAGTTTTGTTTAAATATTCATGGATATCATAGCTTTCGGTAAATTACAGAAAATCTTCAACATAAATCCATCTGCTACACGCCAATAAACAATTAATGGAAATTTTTATGCACGGCTGTGTATGTAAGTGATTTTATGTGTATCTAGCTGTTTATTTCGAAAGAAATTTGCAAATACAGTGATTCGGTAAAAATCACACGTTTACGCGATTAAACTATTCAAGTTCACAGTTGGATCTTTGACGCTTCGCAGTTTCCCTTCTTGAATATCCACTTCACATCCTGAGATACTCTGTCCCAGGAGCATATAGCCAAGACACAGAGGGGCTCGTTTCGTGGGACAATTAAGCTGCGCCCCGTGCAACCCCTGTAAAATGGTTAGCCAGTAGCCTCGTTTCTCAACGCAATTTAACATCAAAGAAAGTTCTCGACTGTAATTCCCATACACACGAGTCCCCGTTCATCGTCTGGCAAAGAAACGGGCGGCAAAAGGGTGCTCTTGACGAAGACTTCCGATGACCAAAAGAGACCCCAGATGGCTTCGTTTCGTATTACAGAAGTCTGCCACGTCGCTTTGGAAGCGAAATTGCCTGAAGGATTCAATAAAGTGAAATTGAACGGACACCATCGAGCGATAGAGAAATGGGAAGATTATGCGAATTGGAAGATTCCCATTATGTATACATATACGATTATCATCGTAGTCAGATTCGAACTATCAACAAAGTCGACATGTGTATAAACGATTACGATAAATTTCCTTAAACATAGTTAACCCTTTGCAAACGAAGAACCCATATCGATATAGCTAATTACATAAGATACGAAACAATCAGCGATAAATTGATCACTTCTTGGACACGATATCTGGAATTCTAATAAAGTTCAACATATCAAACCAGGAAGAACTAAAGGCATTACTCTGCACCTTCTAAAGTTGTTGCAGAAATACGGGGGCACCAAAATGATCTACTTTCGCCCATTTTCAATCTTAACCTGACCTATAATGGAAAGAAGAGTTTTCTAAACACATTTAGCATAACAATAAATGGTCGAAAAACGTCTCCTTAAGATCTACAGACCTAAGTCTAAGGGGAATATACAATACAGTCCTAAAAGCCATGAGAAGTGTCTTCGACAGACCTTATTTCCGGTTCGAACACAGTCATCCCCGAGGAGAAACCTCCGACCTGTCCTCGTTATAGTGATTTCGTTACGGGGCCCAAGGTAACTCCGTCGCAGCCATGAATGTTCCTGGACTTCGGGGCAAACGAGATTAGGACAAATCTGCGCGAGCAAGTTCCACGGTCCGACAGTCATCAGAGTCCGTGCCCCATCGGCTGCAGGACCGTACAACTGCAAACAACCCGAGTCTTTGGGTACAGGGCAAATTGAATTCGACGAACACACTTAGCGCGTGCCAGATTTTCCTTGGCTCCGCTTATCGGCGGAATACCAAGACGCCCGTTAAGGAAATTTCGGATAACTCGCCGCCCGATAGGGAACTTGGCAAGGGATTTTGAAGCCAGTTCGGAAACTACGGCCGGTAATTGCGGAATAATTATGAAATGCGTCGAAGCACTTACGGAATACCGAGAACTTGATCATTACAAGCGATTCAGGGAACATTTACTTTATTTTTATGAAACGTAGAGCACAATATAGACCGTCAACAACGAGTATTATGGTTGGGGAGAATAATTTAAACTATTCCCTTAAGTCTGGCTACTTTTGCCCCCCGTGAAATTTGGCTCATTCTTGCGAATTTTTTTCTGACGAAAGGTATAAGCTGAAACTTTTGAAAATTTAATGCACACTTAGATGCATCTTCCAGTGAATTGCTAGAATTTGTATAGCTAACGAATTTCATGGAATATAACATGACTGGATAAATAGATCCACTGAATTTATAAATATGACTATCTTTTGACTTTACAAAAATTAATAGATTAACTAATTTCTTTTCAATGTGATACCAGTAGCTTGAAAATTCACTCCATCTGGAATATGAATTCCATATCTTTATAATGTAAAATGTCGATACTACTTGTATAGTGTAACTACTGCTAAGTGGTACAAAAATAGGGATCATCCCTGGACAAACAGATAAAATATAAAAACGCACTTGAACAGACAAGTGAAGCAGGACCCGTATTCGATAACACGAGTAGGATAAGGTCCGTCTGTGGCCGGACAAGTGGATCAGGGACTGTATATTGTCATACAAGTGGAACGCGGCCCGTATATGATTCGACAGTTGGAGAAAGAGATCATACACGGTCAGACAAGTGGAAAACTGATTGTACATGAGTTAAAAAAATTATAATAACAAGATCAAATGGAACACATACGTTTGCATAAACATTTTTCAGTGCAAAATGGACATGGTAATTGCTACGGAAAAAATAATGTCACAGATTATATGCATCGTATTTAATTACAACGGATTGAGTCCTTCTATATATTTACAGACACTATAACTTTGTTTTATATTTGGAAGTAACGATATGATTTCTTGTATTAAGTACGATTCCTTATGAAAAAATACGTGGAAAGTGAAAATCAAATCACCATGTCTGTGACTTTCCATTTCTACTTGTAACAAGTAACAATAATGTAATAAATCCTGGTATGATGTTGTCTTGTAATGATCTTCTAACTATAATTATTTGATATTAAATTATCGTATTAAGTATATAGTAATAGAACTAATAATAGAACTAAAATTAATGTAAGTAGAGGTGACTAGTAATGGTCAGGCGTATAAGTTCTATATGTAATTTATTACGTAATAAATTTGCATCGCAGATTTAATCAAAGCGAAGCATGATACGAACAAATTTTCTTCTTTACGTTGAATTTATTTTTTTATATGGAATCATGAAATCCGGATCGTACCGCCAATTCCGATAACACACTGAATGTTCATCCAACGTCTACGATTGTACAGGGATTAATGCCCTGGCAAAGTACAATGCTCAGGGCACAATATGCAACACAGCGAATGTAACAATCGACGTTTCGCATACAACGTCATACGCATGTCATTTACAAGCATTTGCTGAAACGTTTAGTCCATTCTCCCGATAAGCATTGTTCTACGACTGCTGACGGTTCGACTTCAATTCGAATATTTACCATAATAAATTTCTCGCTCGTATTAAGATATACATTTATTAATTAACAGATTCGCTGTCAAACTATTTTATACGAATATTTCAACATTGTCGACGAGGTAATATATTTACATTTGATTTTTCTGAATGATAAAATATGTTATCATGCAGAGGTCTATTTAATAATTTATCCTCTCTTCTATCTTCAATTATAATTAAATAAATGTATCTTATTTCACGATATGGACATTTCGTTTACCGACACTGAACAAAAATGTTTGCCTCCACTACCAGTAAATTGGCGATCGAAGGTATATATCTCTAAAGGAAATACAAATGATATTTGGCATTCAAGGCCACTTCCTCCACTGTAAGCTAAGCCAAACACTAACTTTACTCTTGTGATTTCATCACGCATCGTAGCCCTTACATATCCATATTATATGTATACATGATTAGATCTCATTAGATTTCTAAAACTAACAAAATTTTACTAACAAAAATAGCCAAATAAGTACTTGGTTTTATAGTAACAATCAACTTTTTATAAAAGTTTCACTGGTCTTTGATTTCCAGAAGCGTCTCTACCGGGCGAATTCATACAAAATTTAAAGAAAAATTTGTTACGACTTAATTTAGACTAGACTTGTGTCTAAAACCTAATTACAGAATAATAAATATCAGGGAAGTGTTAATTCCACTTGCATCAATCTGCATTGTAATGTAATCTTTGACTGCATTCCCAGTAGCTATCACATACTCCTGCTACAGCACTAATATTATTATATTAATAGTGGCAATTGTAGGTTTTCACAGTCTCTGCCTATAAACCTCCTGTATTATTCCAGTATAAATTGTAAAAATATTTTAGGCTAATATAGTTACAAATATTAAATAAAATCTTTTTGATTCCAAAAATCATTCCTCGATAAGAAATTAAATTTACATTGTATAAAAAATAAGATAAAGTAATTGAATTACTCATTAGGCACAATACCGTCCTGAAAATAAAAAACAACGTAAATATTCACCAAAGTAAAAACTTACTTACATTTTCTAATGTACTTGTGTCAGTACAATTCTCAGTCTGTACTTTCTGATCATCTGAAAAGTATCAAAGAATAACAGTGTCATAATGAAAGCACTATCACTTGAATTCTCATCTTCCTACAAATTAAATAAATATCTAGATCACAGAAGCTAAACCGCCGCAGGATATGCGGGGTAGTGCATTCATTGTTATCGTATCGTTTGAGACATATGTAATGGTGTCAACATCAGTTCAAATGTAGCATCTTTCAGGTTTGCGCCCCGTAGATTGGCTTCTTGTAAATCAGATCCCGATAAGTCACAGCACTGAAACAGACACAAGTATTTATTACTGAACAAAAGAAAAAGACACTTTTTAGTCCGTACAGTTACAAATCAAAATATTACCTCTAAATCAGCGCCAGCTAGTACAGCTGATCTAAGATCACAATTTCGTAGGATGGCATTCTTTAATGTAGCAACTCTAAGATTTACAGCAGCCATATTGCTACCCTCAAGATTGGCACCTTTCAAATTAACACCTTCCATGTTAGCAGGTAAACCACCAGGATCTTCGAAATTACACGAATGAAGATTAGCGGCAGCAAGATTCGCGCATAACATTTTTACACAAACAAGCTGAGCACCTCGCAGATTTGCATGAGATAAATCTGCGCGTTCGAAACAACAACCTGATAAATTTGCACCCGCTAAGCAGCAATCACGCATGACTGCATACTGTAAAATATCACGAGAATTATACGAAATAATACTACTACAGAATAGATACACAAGTTCTATATCCATTTTCATACAAGAATAATTTTAGTCACCTTGAAATTAATGTTTCTAAGATCTAACCTTGATAGATCAGCACCAACAAAATTAACACCTTGAAATCTAAGTTCAGAAGATACGGGTGTTGACATGATCGCTTTAAGTACATCTTTTCTTGTTAAAGATACCACACCAGATTTTTGGAGCTGCTCCTCTTCAACCATTGTAGACAGTATTTCAATAGCACCTTCTATTCCATAAAAACGTGCTTCTGCGAGTACACCTAAAAAGAAGCAAAATGCCATGCTTTATTAATAATCGCATAAGGAAATAGTTTAAATACGAAATTGATGAACAATGAAATGTAGACTTAACCTGCTGCATTAACATTGGCATCAAGTATCATCTGCCCATGTCTTAAATAATTTAACAATGGCTCAAAGTATGTTGGACTCCTATCAACTAAAAATGCACCTTTCTGATCTTGTCTACTTGGTAAAATCCTTTGTTCATTATTTGTGGCTTCAGTAAACATTCTGTAAATGAATTTGTTACACAATATAAATATAATTATATACACAATAGATAGAAAAAGTATCTACACACTCAGATTTCTTGTAATAATTACATTAAACACAACGAACACTGTACAATAATTAAAAAAATATATTATCTAAAAGCTTACAACAGTTTAGATGGAGTAAAGCACAACAATTTTTATAATATGATCTATAAAGCTGTAAAATTATTCTTACAAAGGTGATGTATGCAAATACTGCCACTTTGTACTTAAACTGATGGAAATATTATTTTACCTGGCTAACATACTTGTTGATTCCTTTTTTGTTAACGTATCCCTGGTGGTTGTAAAATATTTTCCACCAACGTTCAGCGTAATCCATTCTGAGCTCCGATTCAACTGACTTTTAATGTTAATTTTTTCTTTTGAAATAAAATCCTCTCCAGTAGAAACATATAAGACATCATCATCCCTGTAAATAATTTCTGTTATTATAATCATATAATATACAACTTCTATCAACTTTGTCACTTAAATCAAATACTTTACCGTATTAATTTAATATCATCAATTTCTCCACCCTGAGGTGTAAATACTCTTTTAGCATTTATATTGAACTTTGAACTAGCAGCTGTTAATAACTCATCCAATGAATGAGTTACCATAAATACCTAAAACAATTCATTTTTCATAAATAACAGTTTATAAATTTATTAGTTATAATAGAAAGATAAAAAATAAGTTACTGACTAGAATAAAAGCATTATGAGCTTTTTAGCTAAGACTGGAAATAAATTTATTGTACATTGTAGTATAAATTAATGCAATTATTTTATCAACTGATTTAAACACAAATATTATTGCATTTAAGTAAAATTAGATACGTATTGTAATAATCGTAAAGAAATACCCAAAATTTTACTTTAAATCATTGTTCATAACAATGAAAGTTGGAGCCATTTGAAAATTATGTACATTGTAGGAACTTCTTTTATCTATTTTGTAAAACTTAATATTCATAATGTTCATAAAAGGCATACCGATCGCCTATAACAAAATTGTACATACATACACTATCATATGTGACTTATAATAATATCTATTTACCTATGTATATGGCTTCTTAATAAATAGAGTAACATTGAAGAGTTTATTGAAAGTATTAGACGCATCGCAAGATACAATTTGTTACTATTACAAATAAAATTACACTAACCTTGCCATTTACATCGGTTCCATTCACAAAAAGTATTACTCTTTTCATATTTAATAATAATGTCGAGTTATGTGCAGTTATGTGTATAATATATAACAGATAACAGGAAAATCATGGACCTGTGGAAAATAATACCAGAGACGAGGTATAGAACAGTATAGAATAGGCTTATCATCTTAGCGACTTGGGACTTCGCGATTCACGTTCATGTTCTGAAACACCGATCGTGCAGTCAGAAATTTTTTGCTGCCCTCTACGTTATGAGAACGGTGAATTCGTGAATTACAATAGAAGCCCAACAATTGAGTGTCCGTTAATTGATCACTAGGAACGCCCCTCGCTGAAACGTATCCCTCGACAAGTTGAAAATTTGAACAGAAATATAGCCACATTCCTTAAAATTTCCTCTACAAAATACGAATCTTCGAGCATGGTTTTTTTTATCAGTCATGCCTCGTCTATGGTGGTGCGAACAGATTATATGTATACAGAACAAGAAATTCTTGCCACTTACATCTAGCCAGTAAAGAAACTAACAACAAAAATGAATTAATCAAAATGAGCAAAAGGGCGACTCTAGTTGAAAGTTTGCTATCAATATGAAGGATCGAATTGCATTTGCATATTTTTTCAGTAGCAAGTCCCGAGGAAACTTTGATTTTCGCAAAGACATTCCAAAAATTTACAAAAATATACACTATTTTGATATCAATGGCTTTTGCAAATTACGTATAACGATTCAAGAATTGATATATCACCAACTCTAACAACGAATAGTCACTTCTAAGGACTCTAATTACAAATTTATTTTAATTTTTACGTGTCAATAATTAATCAAAGCTATCATAATATGTAACGAACATTTTCAGAATTATTAAAAATAGAACATTTTGTTAGTAACATAAATATTCTTATCGACAGTATTTGCAATGTAAACACTTGGTGCACAATAATCAATAATAATAATTCAGTACAATAACAAAAATAGAAAAACAGCAGCCACAATAGGGCGCTAAATAAGTAGAAAATAGCAGCCACAATAGGGCGCTAAACAAGTACAAAATAGCAGCCACAATAGGGCGCTACACAAGTAAAAAATAGCAGCCACAATAGGGCGCTAAACAAGTAAAAAATAGCAGCCACAATAGGGCGCTAAACAAGTAAAAAATAGCAGCCACAATAGGGCGCTAAACAAGTAAAAAATAGCAGCCACAATAGGGCGCTAAACAAGTAAAAAATAGCAGCCACAATAGGGCGCTAAACAAGTAAAAAATAGCAGCCACAATAGGGCGCTAAACAAGTAAAAAATAGCAGCCACAATAGTGCGCTAACACAAATGACACAAAAGCAGCCTCGTAGGGCGCTCAACCTGTCCACTCTTTGCATTTTATTTACTTAAAAGAAAAAACCGTGAGTGGACCATACGTTTCTCCGCATCACTAATTTATTGAATATGATATAAAAAGATCGCGAGAGCAGCCACATAGGCGCTTATCAGTCGCAACACTAATCATTTGTCAATAATTAGAGTGCCTCTTTTGTTCGCCACTCTAATTTACTGAATCCAAAAATTAAAAAAAACTCCCGTGCACTTCAATGTGCAATACGCAACACTAACTTTAGATTGATGCAGTTAGTGTAGCCACCTGGGCTGTCGTGAACCACTCATTGCAGCTATTTCAGTTGCCTTGTGATTCTGCTGTGGTTCCAGCATTGGGCATTTCATCGATCGCAACACTGAAACAAACCCGATCTATTCATATCGCAACACTAATTCAACAAAAGAAAACGGCTTAAATAAAAAGTAATAAGCAATCGCGCTCAGTCATTTTCGCAACACTACCCTGAAAATAAAGAAATGATCTTAATGCAAACACGATCTCATCATTCGCAACACTACTCTGAAAATATAAAAATGATCTTAATGCAAACACGATCTCATCATTCGCAA